GATATATTTCTTAAAATTAAATCTAAATAATTCACGCTCAAGTTATGCGTCTTTTCTATAAAAATGTTTAACTAAATAATGTAATTCAGTAGATGAAGATAACAATTGTGAATGTGTCGAATAAACTTAATCGCCATCTGAGTCTGATGGCAACGGACAAAGTTTGACTAAGGCTCGTTTTATAAGGCCTCTTTCAGTTCTTATTGTTGCTACTCTTGCCACGCCATCTTTGCCTGGGTGAAGTTCAGCAATTCTTCCCATTTTCCAATGTGCGGGTGGCAGGTTGTCCTCCTTGACCAGTACCAGGGTGTTGATTTACAACGCTGGATGAGGGTGTTTCCATTTTACTCTCGTTTGCAATTCGGATATATATTCCTTGTGCCATCTGGACCAGAAATGTTGCTGTATTTGCTGGATGAGTTGCCATCTTGACAGCCTGGATTCTTTAATTCCGTCCAGCGATGGATCTGCTATGGATGTATACTTTCGGCCGATTAAGAAGTGAGCTGGTGTAAGGGGTATGTAATCGTTGGAATCGTTTGATAAAGGGGTCAATGGACGGGAGTTTAAAATTGCCTCGATTTGAGCTACTAAAGTGTACATTTCTTCGAACGTTAATGACGCATTGCTCGCGACCCTCCGCAAATGATGCTTTGTGCTACGCACGCCGGCTTCCCAAATACCGCCCATGTGAGGTGAATATGCAGGTATGAAATGCCAATGCACGCTCATCTCATCAGCCTTTAGGCTTAAGATGTCGAGCTCATTGCGCAAGAATTTCCCGAGCATATCCAATTCCTTATTCGCGCCAACGAAAGTGGTTCCGTTGTCGGAATATAAATGCTGAGGTTTGCCTCGACGTGCTGTAAAACGCCTAATAGCTGCCAAAAATGAGTCCGCGGACAAGTCTGACACTATTTCTAAGTGAAGCGCCTTTGTAGAAAGACAGACAAATAAGCAAATATAACATTTGGATGTCCGACTTCCGCGACCCTTTCTATCCTTAATATGAAATGGACCAGCATAGTCTACCCCGGTATTGTGAAACGTTGGGGAAGGCGAAGCTCGAGGAAGAGGCAGCGGACCCATCTGAGCCATGGCTGTTCTGGGTTTTGATTTAAAGCATGTAATACAATTTCTAACTACTTTTCTTGCTAAGTTCCTGCTGCCAAGAGTCCAAAATCTTCCCCGCGTGTGAGATAAAAGAAGCTGCGAGCCTCCATGCAATAAATTTATGTGCTCTTGCTCAAAGATGAGCAATGTTAATCGATTCTTAGAGCTCAAGAGAATTGGGAATTTTTTGTCGATTTCAAAGTCCGCGTTCCTCAAACGACCTCCAACGCGCAATATGGAGTTTTCATCCAAGTAAGGATTTAATGCTACCAATTTCCCTTTTTTTACGTGAGTTCCTGATTTAATGCTTTTAATTTCGACGGGAAAGTCCATCTCTTGCGTTAGTCTTATTAACTTTAATAGAGTTTGGTTAGCCTCCTATCCATTGACACGAATATTTTGTCGTCGATTGCGTTTCAGCACCCTAAAGCAGTAGGAAACTACTCTGAGCAGAGTTGATAATTTGGAGTAACGAGATACAATTTCTGCAACATAATGCGGGGAATTTGTTTGTATGCTAGCATGTAGTGCTGAGACGACTTGATTGGAAGGTTGATATTCGTCATAAGGCCATTCGGATTCGTGACTCTGTAAGAACTTGGACCCTTGCCACCAAATTTCCATGTTCCTCAACTTCGTTGGTGCTACGCCTCTAGACAATAAATCCGCTGGGTTCTGATTCGTTGATATGTGTCTCCATTATGCATCGAGATCTAGCTGTTGTATCTGAGATACTCGATTAGCGACAAATACTGGTTGGGTATGTGGTTGTTCTTGAATCCAACTCAACACAATGGTGGAATCTGTCCACAGGAAAATTTGATCGATTTTGCAAGTCATGGATCTTTTAACCTTTGAAACTAAACGTGCGACAGTTAATGCTCCGCATAATTCGAGCCGCGGTATTGTTTCTGTCTTTAAGGGGTTATACTCAGTTAGATTTGACGAAAAAAACGATTTTTTTAAATTGTATTTTATGAAAGTACAACCCCTGAACAATATTTTCTGAAAGTTTCATAACGATCGGAGCAGTAGAACCAAAGTTATGGCTATTTATAGCGCGCTTATACCGAGATCGACGAAAGCAGTTTTAGTGCGTCTCGAAAAAAAAAAAAAA